ATGGCTCAATTACGTCCTGGTTGAATTTCGTTCGCTACGCTCACTCACCTTTAGGTTGGAGCTCGTTCGCTGCGCTCACTTGCCTGTTAGCTCGTTCGCTACGCTAACTCGCCACCAGTTAAATGAAAAACGTTTAAATAGATTTCTTTTAAATAGAGTTCAATGAATAAACATATTCGTTAGTTTTTACATTTGTACATTGGTGATCTGTCTATAATAGAAAATACATGTATTACTAACATTGTTTTCTGAAACGCCCGGTCACTATGTCTAATATTGTAACGTGGTATCAAATTTGAAAGCTTTAGTGATACAAAAAATATTTAATGACCCTCGTTCTAGTTTTTTTCAATACGGGCATGTTTTTTTAATATAAAAAGTTAATTTGATGATTGTTGTTGCAGAATCTATTCAATTTAGTCCATTTGATCTACAAAAAACTTGTAAGAAACAACGCTCATTACGAATTTGGTGTACTAAATCAAATACTTGTTACTCCGGTATTAAAAATCTTTATGTTTTAAGTTTTATAGTACCTTTGACTATTAAATACAACCCTAACTTTGTTTAGGCTATGTGATGATACTTGAGTGTAGTGTTTTATAGTACTAATACCTACTATGCTTTGTCAAAGGAAAAATGAACTCATTTAGCCTAATCAATTTATGCAAATCAAAACCATAATCTTAAAATTTAAGACTATGGTTTTGATTTGCATGAATCGATTATGGATTGTTTATTAATTAACTTTTATTATTTATATATTTACAAATTCTTGGTATCTGAGTGGGTTTTTGTTGTCGTCACTTTCAAATATGAAGGTTGTTTGATTGAAGGCGATTTTGTTTATAAACTTAGATTTTATTTTGTTTATGGACCTAGATTTTATTTGTCCCTGGGCAATCAATTAATTATAATGTCATTAATCAACTAATGTTAAATGATTAGCATAAACTTGGCCGCTGCTAGATAGTATTAAGGACAGGATTTGGACTGTTTCCTAAAAAAAACCCTAATACATTCCAAAGGTGTAAGAAATACACAAATAAATATTTCAAAAACAAATGATGACCTTAAAGAAACATATAGATAACAATATTACAAGCTAAACTAAATTTGAGATAAAAGAAAGGAAGACAAGAAAGTAAATAGTGGCGATCCACAGCGGTCCTTAATTAAATAAGGGCTGTCTTCCACACTGTTCTATACCGGGTGTCCAAAACCACCCGTACACCCCTTTCAAAACGATGGAAACCTTTTCTTACAAACAAAAAAATAATACAGAACTAGCTAAATTCGGCACGGTCTACCAAATGGTGATAATTTCAAATCCAAAATCACACCGGAAGTGGCTTTTTCAGACCGGAAGTTGACTTTTAGCGAATTTCCCTATAGGGAAGTAGCTATTACCGTAGGTGTCATGGTAAGACCTAAGCCCGGGACCGATTTACTTTTTCATTTTGATGTCCCCAGAGGCCAAAAACACCATTCGTTCAAATTTTTATATATCTATATATAAATATATGTGTCCATCCGCACGATAACTTGAGTAATTTTTGTCCGATTTTGATAAAATTTGGTTTGAAGGTGTAAGGCGGGATAAACTTGAATGAGTTCGCGAACCAGCATGATCGGACTATGGGAACGGGGGTTTATGGGGGGTTTTATGGGGGAAAAATAGGTTTTTCCCATTTTTGACCCTAAAAACACAAAATTTCGCAATTTCTTTTTAAACCATTTTGTAGAGCTTAAAAAAACAAATAATTTAGTATATTGAAGCATTATTATGCGCCTAATTGTTACGGAGAAAATTCAAAAAAATTGTAATTTTAAAATTCCCATGTTATTCTTATGGAGAATAAGTCAACTGTTGTAGTTTGCTTGTTTATGAACATATTTTGATAAAAGTTGGAAAATACATTAATTTCTTACTAAACCACAGTAACTTCTAATATTCTACATAAAAAAAACCTTTTTACCCTCCCTGTTGCAGCAAACCTAAGTACTCATTAAACTAATTCTGTTTAAATAGGGAATAAATGTGATATTTTTAAGGAGACATTTTAGTTTAAATCCAATCAGGCAAATGGAAATTCGCTAAGTCTGCAGGTTTGCTGCGGCGGGGGTATTTTAAATGTAAACTACCAATTTTGATTACAGAATCGGATTCTACGTTGAAAAATACATAACTTTTGTCACAAACATTTTTGAAACACTTGTTTTCTACCTCTAATCCCCCATTAAAGTCAATAAATTTTGGTCATTCATGTGTAAAAGTTACTCGAAACAATAATAGATAAAAACAAATAACAAAGATTACATAAAGACATATGATTAATAGAATCAGCTGTTTATTTTAAACACCTTAGCAATTGAGTAACAGCTGGTCTACACATTGCTAAGTTTAATTTTTTTAAATTTATTGTTACATATGACTCCTTAAATGTAAAAACATAGGATTTATTTTTAAAATAAAATGAAATGAAGCAATGTGTAGACAAGCTTTAACTCAATTGCTAAGGTGTTTACAATGAACAGCTGATACTATTTATCACATGTCTTTATGTAATCTTTGTTATTTGTTTTTCTCTATTATTGTTTCAAGTAACTTTGACAGATGAATGACCAAAAATTATTGACTTTAATGGGGGATTAGAGGTAGAAAACAAATTTTTCAAAAAATGTTTTAGACTAAAGTTAGGTATGTATTTTTCAACGTAGAATCCGATTCTGCAATCAAAATTGGTAGTTTACATTTAAAACAGTCAATTTCCGGTCTAAAAAAGCCACTTCCGGTTTGATTTTGGATTTGAAATTATCACCATTTGGTAGACCGTGCCCAATTTAGCTAATTCTGTGTTATTTTTTGTTTGTAAGAAATGGTTTCCATCGTTTTGAAAGGGGTGTACGGGTGGTTTTAGACACCCACAAGCTCTGCTGTGTAATAATTACAGCCTAAATAACAACAACTAAATTACGTAAATAACAACAATGTATTGCTGATGAAACGAAACGATTTAGGACAATAGTTTGTCAGTTATAAAACAACTAAGTAAAAACGTAAATGATGTTCGAAAAAATGTCCTTAACATTAGGTTTAACGAGTCAAGTACCTACGTTTGCTGCTACAGGGAGGGTAATAAAGTGTTTTTTAGTAAAACATTTATAGCTTAGTATGAAATTAATAGATTTGCCAGGTTTGATTAATATATCAATAAGCAAGCAAATTACAACAGTGTACTTATTCTACATAAGAATAAGATGGAAATTTTAAAATTTACATTTTTTTTTTATTTTCTCCGTAACCATACAAAATACTTCAATATACTAAATTATTTGTTTTTTAAGCTCTTGAAAATAGTCTAGAGAGAAACTGGGAAATTGTATGTTTCGAGGGTAAAAAACGAAAAATACAAGTTTTTACCCCATAAATCCCCCCATAAAACACTGTTTTAATGGTCTGATCATGTTGGTTCACGAACTTGTTCAAATAAACGTAGGTTTACACGTTTGTACCAAATTTCATCTAAATCGGATCATTTTTGCTTGAGTTATCCTGCTAACGGAAACATATATATATGAATTTGAACGGATGGTGTTTTTGACCTCTGGGGACATCAAAACGATAAAGTAAATCGGTCCCGGGTCCAGGTCTTACCATATCTACGGTAATAGCTTATTCCCTATATGGGAAATTCCATAAAATGCTAACCGTTACAAGTTATTCTTCCATGTAAGTCACTTTGCACAATTAGCAGAATCATAAACAAAATCCAATTAATTTTTATATGAATCAGATAAAATATTAAGGTGAGATATGATTCCTAACACAAATTGATATGATTGCGGTGATTGTTGAACGAGCTCAGTCCTGCCAATAGCAAACATCTGTCAAAATCAGCTGATTATGACATGAGATATGTCCGCCGCTCTTCAACACGATTGCCAACATCACAAACACATCGACCTACATAGTCTCTTATTAAATTGTCAACCTGAAAATGTGGGAAAATACAAACTACAATTTGAATTAATTAGTCGATATTTCCTTGGTAAAAATAATAGTTCTGCTGTTTTTGGAACTTTATTAATGCGACAACCGAAATGACGTTTTATTGGCTGGAAATAAAGTCAACTATTAATTTATTTCGTTTAAATAATCACTTGTATTATAATAATCACTTGTAAAAGCTATCGTAGGCTACAAATTTATCGTACCTTGATGTTTTAAAAATTACCGGGTTTTGTTTTCGTTGTTGAACAACCATAACAATGAATTTAAAACATACTATACTCTTATCTGTAGTTTGATAGTCCAACATACAGTTTTATTATTCAACACACAGAATAAAAATAAATGTGGTGATAAATAAAATAAATGGGATGAAAAAAATAAGTTTGTATATAGTGAAAATCCGTTTGATTTGTTTTAACTTAAAAACGTAATTTGCACAGCCTTATAACCATGTTTCTGACATTTAATTTGAAGGTTACCGGCCGGTTCGATTCTGAGAATAATCAGTAGCTTTAACAAAACTGGAACCAGCTGATCTTGATCTTTTGGGCTTTTAATAATATGGCCTTGGCTAGGAAACAGATGGTCATATTCAGTGAGAAAGATAAACAGACCATTTCACCACCAAGTGCCATGCTGCACTTAGTATCTGTTCTACACTAATTCGAATGAATATATCGAATGATCTAGAGCCCATATCAAATTCTACACTAATTCGAATGAATATATCGAATGATCTAGACCCCATATCGATATTTTTCATTCGAATGAGTGAAGGACAGATACTTAAGTGCTGCCGAATTTTGTTTTGACGTTGGTGGATGTGTAACTATTTTATGCAACAAATGTAAAGATCAAAATATTTCTATTTTGTTTCGTCTTCCCGTTGCAAAGCACAGGTACAACAGCTAGTCTTAAATAATTGAACTCAATTACAAAATAAGATAAAACTCGTAAAGGCATTGTAACAATCAGAATCACTGACCAGAAAGGTAGCATGTTCTTCATCTCTAGGACAGGCTGCGGACGGAGAGTTCCTGGGGTTCTTGTACACTCTGCCGTCATCCTCCATGTCCTCGTCTAGATCCTCGTCCTCATCCAGGTCAGGGACATCCCTGCGAGCCACGGCGCATTCTGGAACACCGCCAGGATATAAGAACTACAGGGTGTTACAGAGTCGGCTACTTTCGTTATTGTACTACTTGTATACTTGATGCTGATATTTTCATGAAAACACAAAGGATAAAACAAACTAAACAAACGTTTGTCGAATCAAATTGTTTGTATGCACACGAAATTGTATGTTACTAGTCCGGAAAATAGGTGTATACTGGACGAGTATGGTTGTTCCCACACAATTACCACACGAGTACGGTAAGCTTATTTTGGACGAGTGACGTACTATATTTTTCTCCAGAATACTCCAAACTATCCTAACAATAAAAAATAATAAAAAAACTGTACAAATCCATTATATATTTCCACCGACTAAATGACTTACCAATCACTTCTTATAACTTCTATGAGAGGTTAGGTCTTCGTTTATTATTCCTTGGCTTATTGTCAACTAGGGTCCCTGTTGCTCAAATTCGAGCAATTGCTAAGAATTACAGGCGTTATTTTAAAACGACTAACAGTCATAATTTCTGATAACTTTAGAAGCGATTATAAATTCGAAAAAAACATTATTTCTTTTTCTTCTCCTTGGTTGTGTTCTATGACTTTCCTATATTTCCATAGTTTGCAAATCGGGCCTTTCAATGATTATTAAGAAATGCAGCACAGTGTTAATTAATTCAGTTTTCTTATTAGTATATCAATTTATCCAGGCTCTCTCGCTTTTTTCCATTGTAATATCTACACCAACCCAAATTAATATAGTAAATAAAATTCAAAGTCAGTAAATGTTTGTAGTAAACTGTTAAATTTAGCAAATTTAATGACTGTTTACAATTAACATATGTACTTTTTCTCACTTTTTATTTCTGACCACAGCTGGAGTTTCATAACAATTTTTTATTACAATGTTAATCTTATGGAGAAATACAAAACTTTAAAGGGCCCCAGGGCCCCACTCTCTAATTATTTCCCTAAAAAGAAAGTTTCCTGCACAACTTCACGTTACGCTCTTTCCAATGACCAAAAACATGTCAATCGGTTCAGTAGTTTCGGAGGAGTAATTGTCACAAAAAACCTGCTTGCGTATTAAATAAGTATAGATTATAATCAGCTGGTGTCCGGTAAAAACCAACTCATTACAGTACAGTAACACCAAGGCCGCACTAGATTAAGCAGGTGACAAGCAGCTATTTTACGGATAAATTTCGTGCCTGGAAAGTCTATTAAACAATGTATTGTGGCGAAATCCTATTTTTAGTGTCAAAATCAGTGGGATTTCGTGTAAAAAGCGGTTAAAACTTCGCGAATTGTTACCAGTAATCAAATTTGTCCCTCTAGCACCCGAGTCCAACTAACCACTAGCCAACAAGGCTATTCAGCATGGTGCTCAAAATTGAATTAAATATATGATATTAAATGGTACATTGAATTTTATCAATACATTACTCTTAAAAAAGCACAAATGCCAGATCCAGTTGAGATTATTTTTAATAATTTTGTATGTGATAAAAATAATTTAGTTTTAAATTTTTAAATATTCAGATAATTTGTAATTATATTACAGTTTGTCGGTATTGAAAAGTATACAATCGACGGTACGTGTAAACATCCTTTATTCTTGATTATTGGGTAAAAAAATTGCGATAATCCTTTACATTAGACCAAGAAAACATAAGTGAGATTTGCTTAACAAACCGATTGATTATTTGCATTTTCTCCCTCAAAAATGGAGCAAACGATTTTATTCCATCCGTTGAAAATAATGAGGTTCTGATGAAAAATATAAATCCTAAACAATTCAAAGTGTTATGGAAATAAATAAATCTGTCATAAATTATGTAGATTTTGCAGTTTGCTTTTGACCCCTCCATATAGAGTAATATTACACTGATTTAAGTTATAGAGAGAGAAGTGTCAGAGAAGGGTTACATCGTGTTATCTTGTGATTTATAGCCAAGGTCAAGACTGATAATATGCCCGGACACATTTGTTATGGCGGTGCTGCTACTGTGATGTTAGCTAATATAAAATTAAAATAAATAATAACAGTAATTTTGGCATTTGTTTGATTACAAAAGTTAATATTTTATTCTTCTACTTGGGAAAACAAAGGGAAACCCAGAGAAAGACTCCGGCTGTGTTATAAACTAGACTTTTAAGACATTTCCAAGGGAAAATGAGTAAAAAGGAAACTGTATACTGTATGTAATATCTTTAAAAAGGTATTCTCAAAAATGTTTTATTGATGAGATATTCGGCCATTGGTTTGACCTTTTACAGGGAGAAACATCCTCAACTGTGAATTGAACTAGACACTCGCTGCAGCAAGTTTTCCAATAAAATAAAAGATGAATACTAACCGGGTTAAAAAAGAGTTTGAAAATGAAAATTATTGATTTGCTTAATACTTGAATGTTTGGACTAGGTAAGTCACACTAGGAAGACGTATTCAAATCCAGCATCTCTTTCATTTCATAAATTATCGCTGTTACTAAACCTAAGGAAGAATATTGAAGGCTTTATCATACTCTGGTGGTGGTTCATTTAGTAATGTTAATTTTGGATAACTAAGTTGTTAGAGCTGGACCATAAAGATAGGATGTCTTCTTTCGTATCCAATATGCAATTGTATATTTGACTTCATACAGATTAATCATCTGTATATTAATAGGCAATTATGTTTCTTTTAAAACCATTTTCACAGCTCGTGTGCATCGCAGGGAAAATCTACGCATACTGATAGAAAGATTTTTGCCTGTAGATGTGCAGAATTCCTGTATAAATTAAAATAGGCTCAAAAATAATTACAACAAATCAATTTAAAAAGTGTTTAAAAATTAACATGGGACTTATGGGTTTCCGCTGGTGATAAAATAACAACGAAAAATAAACAAAAAATATAAGAAATTCCAATCACATGTTTTGTTTACAGCGTGGGGTGAAAGTAGAGAAGTCTGTACATTACATATTTTTCGTCGAGTTCTCGACATGGACGACCTCTAGTATTTATAAATAAGCTAACGGCAATTTCTTGTATAGTTCTGTCTATTTTGTAATGTGTACTTTTTTGTTCAAAGATTTCCCGTGTTACTCATAATCATTGAAACTATTTTAAGCTAATAAAACTGCATATTTAAGACCTAATGTTTGCCCTATAAAATTATATTCCAAGAGTAATGCAGAAATCGTTAAACAGACTGTAAAACAAAAGCAAAACATTTAGTCGACATAAGTGCACTCAAACGTCAAACACAAAACCTGCATCAAATATGGTTCGGATTACACAATAGAAAATATTTAATTGACCTTTAAGTCAATGGTTGTATTACAAATCGTATTCTTCATTCAGCTTACTAGGGAATTACAATTTAAAGTAAGGTACTGTATTTTTACGTAAACTTATTGTAAAATAGTAGTTTACGCAACTATTGCGTTAAGTTAGTCTTTACGACACGGGTAGAAAATTTAAGGCACGAGCCTTGGCGAGTGCCTTAAAAACTTCTACGAGTGTCGTAAAGGCTATTAACGCGAGTTGCGTACACTACTTAACCTACGACCGTTTTTTAATTACTAACAATCTGGTTTTTAATTACTAACAGTCATTACTCATAACTTCCTAGAGAGGTTATGTTTTCGTTGATTGCCATTGCCACTCAAAGTGATGCAACGACTTATTGTATAATCAGCTGATTTCATGTAATTACGTGCTTGTAAAATTACGTTAAATAATACGTTACTATTTTTCAGGCAATAGCTTCTGCTAGCAGGATTCTTACCATAAATACTGTATCACGTAAAATTAGGGAAATATTGCCTATTTATTTGGACAACTAAATAATATAGTGAAACAGTTAATTTAAAGTTAGATCTCAGCATCGAATATGTGGTCTACAGCGAGTTGGGTGAAACAATGGTTAAGAGGTTTTCAAAATAAACCAAAGCACATTTTCATTTATCAATCTAACCTTATTTTGTTTCGTCCATTTAATGAATTGCTGGTATGTAATTTCATACCTTTGTTTCGATTTTGGTGGCAAAAGATTAGCACAAACAGTTTGTGCTCTCATTTCCATCTCGTCAACTTCACTTTCACTAATACTGAAATTTTTAAATCAGTTTAATCAATCTTCCTTTAACCACCAACTTAGGTCAAAATTACGCGAGTATCAACAGGAACAAGAGGGATCAACAATTAAAATTGTCAACTGATCAGCTGATCAGCTGATTAGTTGACGTTCGAAGCATTACAATTTTACTTCTTTTTTCTCAATCCTTGAATCTCATTGGTCCGTTACCCGTGTTGTTATGAGAAAAACTATGCTGTTATGAAATGAATTCTAAGAACTGAACTGAAATGGCTACTTTAAAAAACGGTCGTAGGTAAAATTAATTTCAGGGTACTCTGGTTTTATTAATTCACGTATTAATTGTTAATAATATAAATACTATTTTGAAGTGAAATAAAAAATTAATTATGTGATGAGGACCCACTTTAAGCCTAAGTGAAATAGTTATTTGTGCAACTAGTGAGAAAAGTGAGCAATTGACTCACTCGAGAGAAATCCTTACTCACGAGCCGTAGGCGAGTGAGGAATGGTTTCTCGAGTGAGGCAATTGTACTTTGAACTCGAGTTGCACATTATACTTTTCCTACAGTTACCATAAAACAAATAAATTTGTGAATAAACATAACCTATTTTTACACAGAAGTGAACTTTTAATATAACATTTAATTTGAAGTGACTAATACAACAGTACAACAGCTGACCAGCTGATTTACAGCCAGTGCTGCCAACGTATTTCGCGCGCATACGATTTCGCCTGCATGTTACGCGCTCACTATTTCGTGCCTTCGCGTTGCAAATCTGGAGTGAGACAAAGTAATTAGAGTGAGACAATGTTAACATTGTCTCACTGATGAGCGAATTGGCCACTTTGCTTTCTCAAATCAGTGAGAGAACATGTACATTGTTAGGTAACTGTAGGAAAAATATACTACTGTGTAACAATGCATT